TATTATATACTATTAATATTTTATAAAAAATATAATATACTTAATATATTATATTATATAATATTATATAATAATAAATATTATAAATAAATTAATAAAAATAATATTCTAAATAAAATATAATATTGTAAATTTATATACTATTATATATTATATATATTATTTATATTATACTTTTTTATAATATATTATATTATATACTATAATATTATATACTATTAATATATATTATACTATATAAATATAATAATATACGTATATATATTATTTTCCTAATTAATTATTCCTGATAATAAAACTTTTACAAATTTGTAAAAAAAAAAATGTTGTATAATTAAGAATATTAACAATAATAATAATAATAATTCGGTACCTTCGAATAAACTCGTAGTTTCTTCTACGTTTGTCTTATTTTATTTTATTTCGTTGTAATTTCACTCCTATTTATTTGTCCCAGTGTATTTTTGTATTCTTTGTCAAAAATTGTCTTATTTTCTTCACTGTCGTCGATTTTGCAAAATGCTTCTTGTAAATGAGGATACGAAAAAATGTATCCGAATGCAGAAAAAAAAAAAGAACTAACCGAAGTTACCGCACAAGTGTCTAGTAACACATCATCTGTTTTTAGAAACGATTCAACGTTCACATTTATAACCAACTCTGCCTGCCAGTAGAATCGTTCATATGACGTAATCACTATTATCATTATCTTCATATAGCCGGGCGAAAAAGCTTTCTCGGAAAAGACGTAACAAAATTCGTCCTTGAATTGTGCTACTACTACTACTACTACTACTACTACTATTACTTCCCTTCAACGTATTTGTATTTAACATATATTTGTCTGTTTACCCGAATGTTAAATGGTTTCATTTCAATCGGCGGTTTTATCAGTTTATGTCAAATTTTTGTTCACATAATTTGTATAATAATAATAAATAATTAATAATAATAAAACAGAATCAATAATTTAATCGATTGATAAAATGTACAGATAAGGTAAAGGTACCAGTCATTGACCATGTGTCTGAAGTTGACCACTTTCAATGTAAACATTAAACATAAGCTTTTTATAAATAAATGTCTATGTAAACAAACAACCTTTACCGACGTGTTGCACATATCTTTTTTCTTGGATACGACTGTTTATCGAAGCTACGGAAGATTAAACTTGGTAATGTCAGACGTATTGCTCGACGCTATTACCTTGTTAACATTATTATTAAGAAACCGTGCGCAGTTGATGGTAATTAATTTGTCAAATTTTGAACCTTTATACTTGAAACTTTCACAATTTAATTGTCAATAAATTTGATATTTATTAAGCAAATTGTTTTTCTTATACTACTTTCAAAAACTTAATTTACCAGTAGGTCACTTACTGATGCAGTGATAGCCTGTCGATAAACGTTTATAATTTTTATGTCATGCTTTAATTTTCGAAAAAGTATGCTTTATTATATGATGTTTGAAGTTCATAGAATATTTTAACGCATTGAACCCCACTATGTAAAAAATATACAACAAGTTACAACCATTTACGATAAAAATTTGTATTAACTGGTCAACTACTAGTGCCTTTACCTTAATTTGTCAAATAATAATTATAATAATATTAATAAAACAGAATTAATAATTTTATTTCATTTTTGTTTAACGATTTGATTGATAAAATGAATTTTATCATTTTTTTCTTTTTTTTTTTAATTCATAAAGATTTGTCAAATTATCTTCCACCCGTAGAGTTTTCAAAACGCGACTTTTGTTAAATAAACAAATAAAAAAATAAAAAATAAAGAACGTGACAAAGAATTTCTGTAAATACGAGAAATACGTCAAACAAGTGTTCCGACACAGTTTTTCCATTGATCGTTTTTTCGTATCCTCCATCTTTCTTGTTATCTACAAAGATCACGCTCTTTCGATGGGATGTAGTATAACCATGTATATGTGTGTATCTATGTGTATATAAATTTATATATGTATGTATCATTGATATATATATATATAATTATATCCCTCGAGTAAAAGAGTTCAAGTTAAATTTAGTTCGAAACTAAATAAATATACTTATAGTATATTATTTAACATTATCGTTTACATTAAATTCATTTAATTATAAATATTATAAATAGAGTAACTGAAGTATCATATATATTATTGTTATAAATATTAAATATTATTAAAATATAAATATATTATTATTAAAGTTATTGAATATATATATATACTATTAATATTATAATAATTATAAATAATTATTATATATATATAATTTACATATATTTTATATAATAATATAATTTTATATAATTATACAATATAATTATAATAATAATTATATTGTATATTTTAATATACTATTATAATATAATTATAATAACAATATAATAATATAATTTAATAGAATTATATAATAATAAATAATTATTATAATATATTATAATAATAATATATTACTATTAATAATAATAATAACATATTATATATTTATATACATTATGTATTTTATATTATATATATATATTTAAAGTTATTTTATATTTAATTGTTTATTATTTTATTTTATATTAAATTATACTATATATATGTTTTAATTATAAATAGAAAAATTTGATCTTATTAATTAGGTAAATTTTTGTTTAATATTTTCTACTGTTTTTTGTAGACTAAAATTTGTAAAATGACGAATAGAATTTTTTTTTCGATTAAACTACTATATATATATTTATTATATACCACATGATACACACATGTAATGTACATTTTGAAATTCAAATGATAGGGATGCATATGTTATTATGCAACTTTAATGTTTCAAAATTTATCGTATGATCTTACAGAGATGATTTTGAATATTTATTAATGTTAGTAAGTGCTTTTTTTTTTTTTTGCAAAAACCAACAATTTTTAACTTCAATATATATTTTTTATAATGTTCATTTGAAATATGTATACGTTTAAACATCTACTACTTCAATTTAATTCAACATTTTATTACGATAATATTTCACGATAATTATGAGTTATTTAAAAATTGTTTTTTATTTATTAACATTTATATTCCTACATTATTTGTTCAAACAAAGAATGATAATTAACAATAGTGTAAGTGTATTCGTAAAAATATAATTTTGACATTAATACGAAATGGAATTTCTGTTTGATAAAAAAAAAAAAAAACAATGAAATATCTTTGATCGTATTATGTTTTCATTAAGATTTTGATTCATTTAGAATGTTGATTATTATCAATGATTTAAATTATCATTTTTTAATCGATAATCATCCTTATTGAATTAATAAACACTAAGAGACTTATCGTTAATGAAAAAAAAACATTGTATCAAATTAATCGGTAGCTATTATCGTCTCGTGTTTAAAAAAAGAAAAAAAACTCGATTACGTTTTCACGCGATCTCAACTTTCTCATACTGATAAATATCTTTATCAATTTTTTTTTTGCTTCTCCTTCTTCTGCTATGATAAAAATGTACTTTTATATCTCTTTACACAAGTTTATAATTCCTTGAAAATTCCTAAACCGATAACGATCATAAACGATGAAACAAATTATAATCCCAGGGGTCGGCGGGTGGGGGGTTATTGATATTTAAAAATATATATATTTTTTTTTTAAATTGAAAAAATAAAATCAACATTTTTCATAAGTATGATCAATCGAGTGAATTATGAAAAATATTCCAATTATCATTTCAATAGAAATCTGATATTACATTTAGTGAGAATATTCTGTATATTTCACTTGGTATATATTTCATCCATTATATTATTACCGTAACTACAATAATACTAAAATCATTCTACCATTGGTATATTATTTGTTATATTACTCCATTTGCTGCTAAGTAAATTTAACATAATAAACATAGCATATATTTCATTAAATGTAATAATATTTAGTTATAGATATGAAAATACATATATAATAAATATATATTTAAAATAAAATAAAAGAAAATAAACAATATTATTATTAACATAATTTAAAATAAAACATTTAATATTATATATATTAATTAAAATATTTAACAATATTTAATAATAATAATAATTTCCTAATCAATTGCATTTAAATTGAAATGCAACGCAATGCAATCTAATTAGAAGTGAATCTGGGTTAATATGTAATATACATTATGATTCTTGTAACGGAGACGGATAATAACTTTTTTTTAAGTAACATTAGAAAAAAATCATAAAGGAAAAAGTTACATGGCGCAACCAATGTCAACTTTTGATGACCTTACTTTTTTTGAAAATGCATCAATGCACCCGCTAGATGCAGTTGCACTTATTTTTTCAATGGAACTCTAGATTTTTGTTTTATACCATTTGATTCCTCTTTTTATTCTGCGTTAAAAAGTATTAAGTGAAGGTCATTGAAATGTCAGTAGTTTATGAGATATTTGATGTTTTATACCAGTAATGTATTTTATTACAATAAGTGTTCGAATGTTCCTCCATTGCATTCTAAACATTTTCTAATGCACTTTTTAACATTTTTCATTACATTTTTAAACTGATATTAGAACAATACATTGTTATACGCTCCTTTAGTCCATGTATGTTCATTGCGTCTATTGAATATTCCATTATTCATAAAAGTTCATTCATCTGTCCATAAAATTCTTTTTGCAAAATTTTCCCTTCGTTGTACTTATCAAAGAAAAAATTGACATAAACGCATTCATCTAATATCATCCCCCACATATAAAGTGTGTCCTATCAAATAACGATATGGTCCTTTTATATCAGTCGATGATTTAAAGGAGCGTATAACAATCTATTGTTCCAATATCAATTTAAATCAATGAAATAAAATACATTACTGATATGAAACATCAAATATCTCGTAAACTATTGACATTTCCATGACCTTCACTTAATACTTTTTAACGCAGAATAAAAAAAGGAATCAAATGGTATATAAAAAAATCTAGAGTTCCATTTAAAAAATAAGTGCAACTGCATCTAACGGGTGCATCGATGCATTTTCAAAAAAAGTAAGGTCATCAAAAGTTGACATTTGTTGTGCCATAAAACTTTTTCCTTTATGATTTTTTTCTATTGTTACTTGAAAAAAAGTTATTATCCGTCCCCGTTACAAGAATTATCCTGTATATTATTATTAATACAATTTAAAATAAAACATTTAATATTATACACACATTAATATAAAATATTATTAATTGAAATATTTAATATTATATAAAAAAAAAAACATTTGCAAACATCAATTTCTAATAATAATAATTTCCTAACCAATTGCATTTAAATTGAAATGCAACGCAATGCAATCCAATTAGAAGTGAATATGGGTTAATATGTAATATATAATATGAAATATAATCTTGAATATATGTGAAATAGAAAATAGGTAATTATTTAGAGTAGCATTGTCTGGTATTAGAAAAAAAGTAAAAATTAATAAAGAAACATTTGACTAACTTATTGTACATACATAACAATTGTAAACAACAAAATATATAATATTTGTTTAAAGGAAGGAATATATTTGAAATTATCAACAACGATGATAAATTTTGTTAATTAGTTTATTCTTTTAACTATGACGATTAGTTCAATGTTTCATTTTTCTTTTATCGTCACGATGATAAAAAAATACAAATGCAAAAGAACAAAAAAGAATATAATTCATATTAATCAAATACTTGTCTAATGGCACCTGTCGAATCGTGACGATAAGTGTGTTCACCGTCACTTATTTCAAAT